AAGTCAGGAAATGAGTGCCCACCCCCCCACTACCTTAAGAACCATCCTAAAACTAGGAACCTGCTTCTTCCACCATCTGAACTATTAGACACAAATGTGTGATGCTTCAAGTGCCTGCCCCACTATACAGCATTTTGTTAATAAGCCCAAGTCCCGACTTTCAGTGAGTGGGGTGACAAATAGTTGGGGCAGTCTTTCTGGAGTAAAGAAGCAGAAGGCTTTAACAGCTGAAACAACCTGAACAATGGCAGCCATTCTCTTGAAGAGACATGACCCCCCAACTCATTTTAAAGTAAGCCAGAAACCTGGGAGAGCCCCACCACTTCAGACATGTCTCCACATTTTCTCTCCCGGCCTCTCCCTTCCTCACCCCTTTCTCTGGCTCTGGCTCTGGCTCTGTCTGTCTCCTACCCATTTACTCTCAGCACTACTTCTTAAAGGTATAGTTTAAATGGTTGGGGTTATTTGAAAAAATGTCTGAAGTTCTCCTTCGAGCTAGAAGGAACTGTATTATAAAGCAGAATAATTTGAAAGGGAGGAGTTCACCTTTATTTTCTTTAAATGAGCAATAAGAAGCCTCCAATTCTTCTAATAACAGAAAAGGCTTATACTTCTGTTAGAGACTCTAAGAACTGATGAAGTTCATATTACAGCTGTAGTTTATCCATGAACCAGGAGAATGCAGACTTCTAAGAAGACCCTGGCTCCTCATACACGCTTTCTCTCCTAGAGCACATGAATACCTGTGCATGAGTAACACAAATGTTGTGGTCATATATGGTTCAGCGTGGAGTAAGGTAGCCCTCATGCACTTCTGAGGGCTTATCAACGGTGAGCTTGTGCTTAGTGTTTATGGCTCTGGGTTAGAGGTATGAGAATTTAGAAGCGAATTTGCTCGGCAGCTGTGTGACCTTTGGTGAGTCATTTAACCTTCTGAACCTCCGGGTCCTATGGGGGAAGGGGGACAATGAGACCTTCTTTGTGGGGCTCTCAAGAGCATCCTGTGAGAGCACTAAACACCACACAGTAGTCACTATCCCAGTGAGGGTGATGTGGTTAGGAGGTGGTAATCCCACTCACAAGTTACTGGAAAAAACTGGGGACTATGGAGCACAGCCCAGGTCTGGGTGGAACAAAGGGTCTGTTTCTTGCAATGTGGTCTCCCCCTGTTTCTGAGGCTGTGTGTCTGCTCCTTGTTGCTGTATTCTGTGCTTCTACATCCCCTCTCTGCTGACTGCCTCTCTCAACTCCAGTTCTACCTGGTCCAGGGCATGGCCACTTGTGACTTCTCAGTTTCAGAACCTAAAAGAAATTTAAGACTAGATCATGTGGTCCACTTCTCTATAATCACTGTGTCTAGAGAGAGAGGACCCTGTTGTCTGCTTCCTGCTCAGCAGACACAAGAAAAGAGATGAGGAGGGCATCTTCACAGGACTCACTCAGGACTCATCGACTTTGCCCTGAAATCTCACCTGTCTATGTCTCTTCTTGCCCTTCATTGCAGTCCGTAACTATGGAATTCTTAGAAGAGTTGGGGCTCCCGTGCCTGATGCTGGTGACCCTCTCATGCCTGATGCTGGTGATCCTCCCACTTTGATAGATCCTTGTCCAGATTCTTTTACATTTTCCCCCTTCTCCATAATTGAGAAGTACCTTTTAAGGCCGTACCTTCCTGTTTTCTGGTTCTCCTGTCCCATATTAAAATCAATCACAGAGTGTGGGAATCTACTTCTCTTTCTCTCTCATAGGTTTAGTTTTCTAGAAACATCTGTCTTTTATTTTGCATAAACATGATATTCTTACTATTTTATTTCATTTTTCTAGACTCTATGGAATGTTCTCAGATCTGGAAATATGCAGTGTTCCCTTTTTATGTGATCATTTTGTAGGGTGGGGATTGACTGTCTGAAGCAGACATAATATATGGAGAAGTCCTGAGTATCTTCTTACAATATCTTCAATCATGCTCCCAAAGACTCAGAAGCAGTTGTTCCTGGATAAAAATATGTTTCTAATATTGAGAACTCTCTTGAAGTGTTGCCAGAGAACTGGATAAGGTGATAGAATAGCCTGTGCTGTTGGGTAGCTGTGATTTTCTGTGATGAGAATGACCTATAAGAACCACAGTGTGTTTATTCACTCAGAGATAGGGAAGCAAGACATGTGTGTCTGTGGGGGAAAAGGGCTATGGCATGTGCACATGTCTGTCTGGCTTTTGAAAAGTAAGTTTTCTGGGGTCTTTTGTCTTCAACTGAAAGTTGAAGTTAGGAAATTTGAAGTTAGGAAATCAGAAATTTATCTTAGAAACCATTTTCTCACCCAGAACCACTGCGACAGTGTAAACAGACTTTCTAATACAATGCGGAGTGGACCAGGGACTTTGCAATCCTCAGCATTGAAATAGACCAAAGTAAGGGTTTCATGTCAAACAAAACTGGCCATTTGGTTTTGGAATAGTAGATTCCAAGGCAAGAAAGAAAAGCCAGATATGACATGGGTCCCTGGCCAAATGGGTAGTACTGATGGGGGAGGTCCTTCTGTATATATGTTTGTCTTATTGGTTGATAAATAAAGCACTGTTGTCTGATAGGGAAGAAAGATAGGTGAGGCTAGGAGTTGAGGAGGATTCTGGGAAATGTAGTAAAGAGGAGAGTCACCATGTGATCTCAGGAAGAGAGGATGCATGCCGCTGGTGTCCTCAATAAGTCATTATAAAAATATATAGATTAATGGTAATGGTTGATACTTAAGACAGTGCTGGCAAATAAGAAATCCTAGTCATTTGCCAGCAGCATTGTAACTAATATTAATCTCTGTATGTTATTTGGGGGTCCTAACATGGCGGTGGAACTCAGGTGGCTGGCGGAAAGAGTTTATGTTACGAATGGCGCCCACATGGTTTTATGAACTTCCACATAAAAACTTCACAAAAACTTAAAAAGGGATTTTAGAAACAAAAAGAACAGAGACAAGTACAGTTTCTGATAGCAGCATTTTCTAGGGTGAGCTCTGTTTTCCAGGCATTAAGAGACATGCTGATACTCTTTTTAAGAGCAGCTTTCTCATTTATATAGCAGCCAAAACTGCAGCTGTTAGTGAGCACATAAGACTCATGTTATTAGAAAAAGATACAGATTTACATTAAAGAAAAATATACATAGGTTTGGGAGAGAAAATAAAAATAATGACTAGCTGGGTATACTGACATTTGCCTTTAATCCCAGCACTCCAGAAGCAGAGGCAGGCGGATTTCCACAGAGAAACCCTGTCTCAGGGAAAGAAAGGAAGTAAATGAAATAGAATAATAAAAAGCCAGGTAAAGATGGAAAATACAGAGTCTGGATACTATATGTTATACTGTTGTCTTTAAATTGTTTGATTGCTAAGGAAAGAGCTACAGCTGCTAAAATACATTTGATTATAGGTGCTGCTAAATTAATCCAACTTACATATTTTAAAAATGCTTTGACTTCTAAATTTAAAAATAAGGACAGGTTACTTGGGAAAAGGGCTTTTGCTTATGTTTCCACAGAAAATGTAATGCTATGGATTCCTTCCAGACTAATATGGTTTGGTGGAACAAGACCCCCTGAAAGAGTGTCCCAGGTAATCCAACATCTATAACAGCTAAGATGATACAGCCTTACAGACTACAAAAACAAGGACCTGGCCAGGTTTCTGTGTTTTATCATGATCCCCATGGTATGGACATTGCCCCCAACCAGCAGGAAGCAGTTTGGAATGAATGACACCCAAATTCCCAAACATTCTTTATAAATTTTTGTTTTCATTCAAATGGGGTTGGTTAAATGGTTAATGATCACAACCAATATCTTTTTAAAGGTAAAAGGGAAATTATGGTATATAAATAATACTTTGGATTGGATTGGATTTTCATTTATTGATACAAATTTAAGGTCAATTTTGTGATATGTATATTTCTCCTCTTGTTTAGGTATTGTGTTTATACTGATCTTTTAAAATGTAATGCATAATCAAATACAGATTATATAGTCAACTATAATATAAGTCAGAACTTATATTTAGGTTAGTTATGTTTTCTGGATATACAAAGATGTATTTGAGATGGATAAATATTCTTCAAACCTTTCAAAGACCTACAGAATACATGGCATTTAAATGGTTTAGGGTTTTTCATGACAGTGAGACACAACTGCTCCTGGCACATCAATTATGCCAGAATGGAGGATGGGCATTGAAGAATCTTGTTATTGAGTTTGCCTTCAATATGGCTGATTAGCCATTTGGGCAAGAAACTGCTCTTGCCTGGACTGTTTGATAAACTGGACATGCAGGACCCACAAGAAAGTGACTTCTGAACTTACAAAACAAGATGGACAGTCCTAAAGAGTTCCTGCTTCATGGAAGTGTCTGCCAGACAATCTACAGGACACAGAGAAAAATGGCTGATAAACTGCCAATACAGATGGGACAGTTTCAAATTTCCTGCTTCACTGAGAAGTCTGTCAGACACACTGTAGCCTATGAGGAGAAAATGGATGTCCCAAAATTACAGTGGAAATTCGGGTGGCTGTCCAGGTAATGAGATGTCTTTGTCAATTCTGGAGTTATATATTATCCTTCTATGGTCTTTGATGGAGTTGAAGACAGATAGCTATAGTTATGGTTTTCCTTAGTTATGATACTATTATATATAAGTTACATATAAGACTTTAGACTCTCAAAGATAAGATAGATGATAGAATATTTTCTTTAAATCTTGCTAAATGTTAATGAACTAAATATCATAGCTATAGTTCTTACTTGATAACTGTTTTATTATATATTTTACTATGTTAATGTTAAAACCCTTCTTTTTATTTAGATAGAAAAGAGGAGATGATGGGGGGGTCCTTCTGTGTATATGTTCGTCTTATTGGTTGATAAATAAAGTACTGTTGGCCAATAGGGAACAACAAGATAGGTGGGGCTAGGAGTCAAGGAGGATTCTGGGAAATGTAGTAAAGAGGAGAGTAGCCATGTGATCCCAGGAAGAGAGGACACATGCCAATGGCGTCCTCGATAAGGTAAGTCTGTATAAAATATATAGATTAATGGTTATGGTTGATACTTAAGACAGAGCTAACAAATAAGAAATCCTAGCCACTGGCCAGCAGCATTGTAACTAATATTAATCTCTGTGTGCTATTTGGGGGCCCTAACATGGTGGCAGAACTCAGGTGGCTGGCAGAAAGAGTTATCATTATATAGTACTACAGGTAATTTGGAGCTCTGATGACTGACATGGTTAATAAGAAAGAACATACTTTCAGTCTTCAGAAAGCATAGCATAGGCAAGAAAGTGTAGCCTCTTGCCTGTTTGGATAGGTCCTAAGATGAGGAAAATGTTCTGCAAGTATTATTGCCTCCAATATTGTACAAGTATTGTGTTTCTGAAAATGTGTGCATGTGTATGTGCATGTGTGTGTGTGTGTGTGTGTGTGTGTGTGTGTGTGTGTGTGTCTCCTCTCCCTCTGTGTTTCCCCCATTCTCCTCCTATTCTTGGCTGCCATAGGAGTAACAGCCAAAGGGTTAGGTAATTACACGGTGAAACCTGTGAAGTCACGAGCTGAACTAACCCTTTCTTCCTTCTTGTCTCAGGTGCTTTGTTACAGGAAACTGGCTATCACATCCACACAGTGCATAGTTTTAAGAGTCACAATTAAATTTGTAGGATCTTACCATTTGGTATTTGATGTAAAAGAGGCTAAAAAATCTGTTCTAGTTATAAACTCTTCATTCATATTTTCATAAGTCTGAATTCAGCCACACAGCACTAAGGGTCCATCTGGTTTAACTACCACCACAACTAAGTTTGCTAAGTTTAAAGTTACCAGGGACATTTAAACAGAGGTATTTTTCTATTTCAGAACCAAGTCTGTTTTCAAACACTTTTATAAACAGAGTTTGACTTGTTTGAACATTTATGTATGTGTAAATATTCATATTTAGAGAGAATTGAAAAATTACTATCAATAATAAAACTATCAAGAGTTTGTCTCTGTCATATTTTTATGACATTTCTAGTTTTCTGAATTGAATGTCTGCGTGCATATGTGTGGGTTAAAATAGGGGAAGGCTGCTTTATGGACACAGAGGGCACACAGAAGGGGGCTCCTTCACTGTGTGCCAAATGGATGTAGTTTTGCTTGAAATAATACAGCAAGGTGAGTAAAAAGATTACTGTTTTTTAATGACTGGTCACACACATTCTTTTCTTCCCAAGTCCCAAGTGGATGATGTCTTTCCACCATTCAGCCCCCCTTCTTTTTTTTTAATTCTTTCTTCTTCTTCTTCTTCTTCTTCTTCTTCTTCTTCTTCTTCTTCTTCTTCTTCTTCTTCTTCTTCTTCTTCTTCTTCTTCTTCTTTCT